ATACTTAACACAGTATAGTTTACATGGCTGGCTTCAATGAATGTTTTTGCACCTTATTGCTGCCTACATGTCACCTAGGGAATGTGAATGTCCTGGACTGGGCTAAAGGACCATGGGAATTGCTGAGATGGAGCAGGGAGCAAAGACAACTGAGCAATAACTGAATCAATAACATTTATTGATTGCATCATTTGAGCCAGACTGTTCAGCCCTTGATTGTGCTCTAGGTCATGCAGACTTCCCCACACCCCGTTTGATAGGTGCTCATCAACCTCACTATACAGATGGGGAAATGGAGGCTAGAGAACTTAAGTCGCTTGTCCAAAGTCAGACCCTGACCCTGAATAAACCCAAGCTTGTTCAACTCCGGAGCCCTATATTCTTAAGTCTAGCTCACATTTGAGCCTGGGGAAGTTCTTTATGCTCATTCAAACTCGTAAAGTACAGTACTACAATACAGAAGGGGTATGAGGGCAGCAGAGTGTGCATGGTTACCCCAGCCCCCCAGCACATCCTGCATGCCCCAGCAGCTAGTGGCTCTGCTTGGCCAGAAGCCATGAGGGACAAAAGCAAAATGTCTATGAAGGGTCTGTTCCTCATAGTGTGGATTTGTCAAGGCCCTGGGTCCTAGCAGCCGGTTGGAGGGGTGCCCAAGAGTGAACCAATAGCTGCAATGTCAGACACTAAGTTGGGAGTGGAAGTGAAAGGTGAGGAAGCCAGAATGCAGGGAACTAGGCCAAGTTGCCAGGTCTTGGGCAATTTCAGTCCTAAGGCTCTCAGCCAAGGACAAGCCACTGTGCCTAAAATAATCTCCCACGAGAGCTATAACTCATCATTTTGCAATCTCTATCCCAGTACTGACTTTTGGGCCAATGCAACTAGTATTAATGGGCCCCTATTAAATGTTAGCACCATGAAAGGTACAAAAATCTGGTCTTCCACAGAGACAGGGCGAGCCCACAGGAAACAATGAGAGAGCTGTAGAAAACAGCAGACAATGCAGGGCCAACCTGTGCAGTATGAGCCACAAAGGCAGCTGAAATTCACAGAAAGGAGAGATTAGGGTGTACTGGCATGGGCAGTGGTGGCTTCTTGGAGCAAATGAACTGAAGGGAGAAAGACAGAGTAGAAAGAGAACAGCATTTCAAGGAGGAAGAAGAGTATAAGCAAAAGTGAGGCAGCAACAATCCAAATAAATTGTTTCTTGGGCTATGAGAAACCCATCTGTGAGCACAGGGTTCTTGCTGGAGAAGAATGGGATAGAAAGTTAGACGAGTAGGAAAGATCAGATCAGAGAGGTCCTCGATTCCAAGAACATTGGTCAAGTAAATTCAACACGCAGGATCCAGGAGTTCATCATGTGGGCAACCAGAAATTTGGGCTTTAAACAGGCAATAAAGAATAAAAATTTAATTTTAGAAAGATTTATTTGTGGTAGCATTTGAGATGGATTAGAGAGGAGAATGCTAAAGGCAAAAGAACTGTCCAAAAAAAAAAACCCTGAATGCTTCTTTGAGCATCCACTAAAAGTCTGACTACATGCAAACAATAGTCATGCTCCCTCCCCAGCCAGGTGTCATAGTCCAATGGGGGAGACATTCATTAATCTCATAGTTACATATTAAGAACCTACTATATGCCAAGGATCTTACTGGGCCCTGGGGACACAGGGAAAAACAAAACAAAGTCTCAGCCCTCATGGCTCATCCTCCAATGAGTATGGAAGATAATACAAAAGCAAACGAATAATCATATCAATATAAAGTCAGGTACTGAGTGCCATGAAGAAAAATAAAGCAGGGCATTAGGTAGAGAATGATGAGACTCTTCAAGGAAGCCCTCTCCAAGAAAACGCCACAATATTTCAAACCCAGAGAACAGGTGAAATGGAGATGCCACTGCTAGCAATAAGGATATTGAGAAGGTGACCTAGTTTGTACAGAGAAAGTGGGGAGTCTTGTTGTAAGAAGTGTGTCAAGCTTGTGATGAAAGAAGGATATCTGCACAGAAAGGTCTAGACTCTAGAATGCTAATCCACAAGATCAGAGGAAGATAAAGTTTAGACACGTAAATTTTAAACTCTTCCATTGATATTTGAGGAATAAGAAACCTTCTTTCCGAAACTAATTTACATGAAATGAAAGTAACTAAAGGACTGGAAAAAAAGGGAGTGTAAGATATTCGAAAAGTTTTATCATATCTCCTATGATGATGCCCTCCCTCCAGACTCCCAGAATTCCAGGGGTGGGCAGTGACTTTGCTTGGCAGCAAGTAGCTGGTGACGAAATAATAGTACTAATAACTGAGGCTCATACACAACCAACCATCCAAAGAGCTCTGTCCCCTGTTCCTTCAAACCCCAAGACACAGTGGTCGCCACAGCTCCATCCCTCCTCGGCACTAACCCCTTCGACTACCTGTTGCCCCTCCGTGATTGCTTCCTCTGCAGATGGCTCTGGGTGTTTTAAGGTTTAGTAGAAAAAGATTTGGAAAGCAAAATAAACAAATTTTAACTAGCCTTCCCTGCCTTCCTAGGAATGGCAAGAAATAAATGTTGGGATAGACTCAAGGGTCGGGTGACCAACTGTTCCAGTTTGCCGAGTTTCAGCACCATAAGTCCTGCATTTCTGGGAAACCCCTTAGCCCTAGGCAAACTGGGACAGTTGGTCACCCTATGACTGATCTGACCTTCATAGCTATAACCTGTGTCTGACCTGCGTGATGCAACACAAGGCTTTACATCTCTAAAGTGACATCAGTGTGCTTAAAGCACGTGCTTAGTTTCCCAAGCCCTACCTAACCCCCTACCCTGGAAGCTGGGTTCTCTTCCCCATCCAGACAGAGGAGCTGTGCCAGAAATTCCTCAGCACGGGGTGACCCTGGGTTCCTCAGCTTTCTATTCCCACCATCTCCCACTCAGCTCCAGCTATCACCTGAACCAGGAACATCAAATCCACCAGCAACTCCAATCCAGGCCAGTTGCTGACCTTTCTGTCCAACCCTGGACAGCAAGCTAGTGTGGCCGGGGGAGGGTCAAGGTCAGATTATCAAAGACTGAATGAGGGGAACTCATCTGAGGTGGTGATGTGCTGTACCACAGCAAATCACAAGAAAGGGGAACCCCAGGTAAATTACAGCCTACTGACCATGGAAGACGTGTGGTTTGCGTCTTTGAGTTACAGAAACACCGGAAATGATTACCAACAAGTCAATTTCGGAGTTTTGGGTCCCAGTCTGGACTGGCTCACCTTCAAAGCAGAAACCAGGAGAAAGCTCTGACCTTAGGGCGCACATCATATGCTCTTCCAGCAGCCACAATGTTTGGAACATTCACAGATCTTGAGAAAACTCACAAACCATCTCTGCCACTTATTACAGACCTCTCCAAAATTATAAACAAGGTTCACAGAAAATGCCAAGACTGATATTAATCTCAGCTTCCTCCCTTATTACAGAATTTTCCTGCCTGACAAGGTTAAAAGAATAATAGGCAGGAAACACAATCCTCCAGGAATAATCTCTATTTGGCCCCTTGTCATCTTGACTGCTTTTATACAAACTAAAACACAGAATTTTAAATCAGCTATTCAGGTAACTTTGCCCAGTCTGCACACACAGATCCCTACTAAGAGCCAGAGCAAAGGGTGCTTGTTATTGCTGCCTCTTTTAACTGAGTTGTCTTGGAAATTGTCTCACACGCCAAAGACAGATTACTGTTAAAATTTCCAATGACTCAAAATTTGATCCTTGAAGCAGCCCCCTCCCCGTCCCTCCCTGCAGGGCTCAGCCCAGCTGACCATGGCAGGCTGTTGCAAGATTGCATCACTGACCTTTGCAGTCTTCTGGCTAGTCTGATTTCCCGCTCCTCCCCCTGCCCTCTTCTTCTCCCTCCTTTAAGCCCTTTGGCCTATCTGTCTCTCCTCTTCCCTTACTTGCCAACTCTGGTCTATGGATAACCAAAACTATTCCACCTCCCCAAAGGGATGATGTTTAATCCCAGTCACAATCAATCCTACTCTCCTCACGCTTCCAAGAGCACCCTCCACTCTTTAGCTTCTTACACAAACTGTCAACTCTCACCCTTCTGCCTTAAACTCTCAACTGTTTCTATGATAAAGCTGAGCTGGCACCATGGAATTGCACCCACAGATCCAGGGAAGTGGCAAACAATTATGGAGGAGAGCATGAAATATTTGCATTCCAAACCAGCAAATTTTACTAACAGCCCCCCTTCCATCCTCCCCAGCCCCCAACTTCACTTCTCAGATGCGAGTGGAGACAATTTGGATTTAATGGCAGTTCCCTGGTATGCAGAAGTGCATATACATACACCTGCAGGCACAGAGACTGACATCACACACACACACATACCCACATCTCTGTGCACAGAAGGGCACCTTCAAAGAATCGTTATCTATCAAGTGACCCTAGCAATGCAAGCACCAGTGAATAAAACCAGTCAGGCCGGAAAGAAACAGTAAGCACAGTATTATGCAGAGCCTGGAGACCTGTTCTGTTGCTTTCCCAGATCCCTCCCCCTCGCCTTCTCCCCTCCGAACCTCACACATGTGGGAAGATGACAACTCATCTGAATAAAAACTAAAGATTTTTCAGTTAGGTAGAACCCCCAGATGTCCTCATCAGGGGTCCTTCTCAGGGTGTCCTGGACGAGGGGAGCTGTGTGCCCACCCACACCACTCAGCGTCATGTCGGAAATGTAGACGGATACTTCTCCGGGCTTCGGGTCCTGACCCTTGCGAGCACCCGGAGTGGGACCTAGCCGTCCAGGCCTGCTCTGCCGCCCCGCCCCCGCAGCGATCTCCCCGTCCCGGGACCCTGAGCTCACACGGCCCGGGCGTGCACAGCTCGTGGCCGCCTCCCCCTCCTCCCCCTCCTCCCCCTCCGCCCCCTTGCTCTTCCTCCTTTCTTTGGCCGGGGCTGCCCTGGCCCCAGCCAAGGGAACCCAGGAGGCGGGTCTCGTAGAAAAGATATAAGCGGCCCCGGGACGCTGACAAGCTGCCAGCTGCGGAGTCTCCATCTGGAAGAGCCGCGGCTCCCGAGGAGGAGAACGCAGAGCCTGGCCCGACCGACGGACGCGCCGACCGCCGCTGCGCCGCCGCCCCCAGCTCGCGCTGCCTCCTGCTCGCGCCGAAGCACGAAGGTGAGCCGGGTGGCGCGGGCACGGGGGCGCGCGGGGGCACCCCCAAGACAGCTGAGTGAGGGGTGTTCGGGAAAGCTGGAGCTGTCCTTCAGTGGCTAAACGTCCCTCTTTCCTGCTCCGCTCCTCCTGCAGGTCACTCCCGCCCCGGACAGCCTAGAGAGCCCAGAACCGAGATGGAAACGGTCCAGGAGCTGATTCCTCTGGCCAAGGAGATGATGGCCCAGAAGCCCAACCGGAAGCTGTTAAAGCTGTACGTGCTGGGCAGCGTCCTGGCTTTCCTCGGTGTGGTGCTAGGCCTGGTGGAGACTGTGTGCAGCCCCTTCACGGCCTCCAGCCGCCTGCGGGAGGAGGAGGCAGCTGTGGCCGAGCTGCAGGCCGCCCGTGAGCGAAAGGCCCTCCAGACACAAGCCCTGCTGGAGAAAGGCAAGCAGCAGGAGGCCATCCTCCGCAACCGGCAGCATGGCTCCTAAGAACCTGGGGAGACCAGCAGAGGGAGGGGGAGAGAGAGACTGAGCTAGGGACAGAGACAGAGAGAGAGGGCAAGCGAGCGCAGGTCAGGCTCAAGTGGGAGACAGCAGGAGTCCTGTGCTGTTTGGACTTCCTTCTGAGAAGCCACTGACTTCTAGAACTGAACTACCACACAGATCCACGAAAGGAGTTTGGGGTTGAGTTTTGCTGCTGTGAGACACTACAGAAAGATATGTCCAAAACTATGTATCTTTAAGCTATCTGAGTGCATCTACCATTTTGCACTGGGGCAGAGGGAGGGGAATGCTTTTTATATTAATATTATTATTGTTATTATTATTATTATTACAATGACCACCATTTTGCATTTTGAAATAAAAAACGTTTTATACTGTATCTCAGTATCTGATTCAGGCATGGTGCCCTGGAGTGGGCAGCAGGGAGGGTGGGCATGCTGGTGAAGGGGGCCTTACTTGAGCACTGTGGAGAGAGCAGCTTCCTGAAGGTCAGGCAACACTTACTTCACTGCTGGGGACTCAGATATTCATATGACATGCTTATAAGTCTCTTCAGGATTTATTTTTGTTTCATGTTAGGGGTAGGAAGAGAGAAATTTTTTTTTTAAGTCCCACCAGACTTAGCATTTTTAAGATCAGAAGATATATCAACTTCTGAGCTAGAGTATGTGAATGGGAGATAATGAGTAATTCTAGGGCAGAACACCCATTTGCCATCTCACACCTGTGTAGCAGAGGCCCCTATGGCTGGGACCCCTTTCTTCCTAACTGTATTTTAGCGAAAGAAGGAGAAAGAAAGAAAAATAAAAGGAAGAAAGCAAAAGGGAAAACTAGCTAGCCGGTAGGAAGAGGGAAGGCAAGCTCCCAGGAACACCTAATTGATGTCTAACTCTATGCAGCTTCTTCCCCCATGAACTCAAATCATAGTAAGAAGCTCTAGGTTAGAGGGAGAAAAGACTGGTTGTCACAGACCTCTTCCTCCAGAGGCAGAGCTTGCTCTGTGGTAATAACTAATTCAGTGGCTCTACAGGGCTCAGCAAAGGAAATTTTAAACAATGGCTCCTAGAGAGGTAGTTAGGGTCACGGACCCAATGCCACTCTCCTTGTGATTTTATATGTCTCCTGCCCTAACCAGGTACAGACATTTCACTCTTGTCATTAATGGTGGTGCATTTTTGCCAAACATACCAATGGTCGGTGCCATTGCCTCTGATCAGACTGTGTCCACCACCACTCCCTTCCCACACACACACCCTCCTTCATTTTATTTCTGTCGGCTCAAATCCTATCCGGCATTCCTGGCCCTGATCAAATGCTATCTCTCCCTGATATCTATCCTCACTCCAAACAGAAGAGCGTCCGAATGGGGTGAGATTAAGAGAAAAGCGACATCGTAAAAGGAGGAAAAGGATGTCAGTGGCACCATTGTTCTCCCAGTTTCCAAAAATGGGAAATTCAGCCCTTTATTAAGACATAGCCTCAACTTAAATGTCCAAAAACCTTCTTAAGAATTCATCCAATCTTACTCTTCCAAAATGCCTCTCCTATTCTAGTCATATTCCTCCACCCATTCAGCCATGACCTTGTCCAGCTCCCGACAGCTCAAACCTCCTCCTGCACCTTTTACCACTTTCTCCCCAAACGGTTCCTCTGCTAGACTGTTCTTCCTTCAATACGTTTCACCATTCCGCTCCTCCACTCAAGAAACGTCAGAGACCAAACTCCCGTGCCAGATTTTTCAGTATGTTCGTGATCAGCTCCCATTCCAGCTTCTCACCTGATTTCTCAGGCTGCCCAGCTTGGGCCCTGGTACCTCCTATTCCCTTTTGGTCTTTTGCATCTTTGTTCTCATTACTTTTGCCACCTGAATGTCCTCCCACCCACATTCTCCACGCCTTCTGAAAACATATACCTCAAATTCTCCAAGAGAGTTATGATTTCAAATAGTCTGCTTATTGTCAAGCTATGTATCAAAATCATATACTCCAATTTTTGGTTTAGAAGGTAATGTCTATTTTTAGGTTTGCCTATCTACAAAAAAATGTCTTTTTTACATATTTGCCTAATATACTTTTATTTTCAAAGTTATGTCTCATACCTATATATGTTCAAACTACCCAACTCAGTCAAGTCCTAGCTATTGAAATCTTCTCTGATCTTCTCATTTCTCTGAATTCTTACAGGTCGTTCAGTCTGGGTCTCATACTGGATCACTCAGTAATGGACCTTTTCTCCAGTTGTTTTACAGAGCAGTATTCTAGGGAGAGGGAGAGAGAGAGCGAGAGGAAGAGAGAGACTGGGGGAGGGGCGGGGGAGAGAGAGAGAAAGGAAGGAAGGAAGGAGAGAAAGAAAGCAAAAAAACTAGGAATCTGGTAGGAAAAGAGGGACGCAAGCTCCCAAGAACCCCTAAATGGATATCTAGCTCTACCCAGTTTCCTCCTCACGAACCTGAATTATAGTAAGAAGCTTTAGCTTAGAAGGAGAAAAGACTGGTTGTCACAGAACTGAGTCCACTTCCTCCAGGGACAGAGTATAATCTTCTCAAGGACCATGTCTTCCCCTTGAGTGTTCACAGAAATTATCAAGTCCTAGACAAACAGTAGGTTTTTAATGAGTGCTTGATTGCTCAATTCATCCATTTATGAAGTTAGAGCAGTGGTTCTCAATGAGAGAGGGAGCAATTTTGTCTCCCCAGGAGACATTTGAAAATGTCTGGAGACATTTCTGGTTATCTAGTAGGGAGGAGAGGTACCACTGCTTGCATCTAGTGAGTAGAAGCCAGGGATGCTATTAAACATCTCATAGCATGCAGGACAGCCGTCCACAACAAAGAATTCTCCAGTCTAAAATGTCAGTAGAACTGAGGTTGAGAAACCCCAGGATAAAGGAAAGTAAAGGAAAGGGGTTTGCTTAATAGTTTCAGAATCAAGATTTTGAGGTAGTCTTGCAAGACTATGCCTAGTTGTGATCAAACACGCTGAGTCCCTCTCCCAACACTGGGACAGAAGTGGTCCTTGGCCCTATCCTGTTTGGCAATTTTATCAGCAACCTAGGAGAAGCGACAGAAGGTGTACTTACCAGCTCTGTTGGTGATGCAGAGCTGAGATTGTCGAGTCAGGATTCAAAACCACTCAACAGGCTGGAACCATGACTGAAGCTAACCGATTGAAACTGAATAGGGAAGAAGATACAGTAAAGAACTGAGGTCCAAAACACCAGTTGCATGACCACAGAATTACAAAGGCCTATTCTAGAAGAAGATAGTGTGAAAAAGACCTAGGTATTTTCACGGATTACAGGCTCAATATAAGTCAACAAGAGCTTGTGACAGGGCTGCTAAAACAAACTAACCCCTCATTAGTAGACATGGAATGTACAGAAAAAGGGAAGAGGAGGTAGTTTTGTTTTCCTTTGCAGTCTGGCAGGTGGAAAACCAAAGAAGTTAAGTCAGACCGCCTGGATTTGCTTGGGTTTGCATTCTGCCGCTAGCTCTAAGACCTTGGACAGGTTACTTATAAACTCTCTGCCTCAAGTTACTTAAGTTCATTCCTCATCTACAAAATAGTTCCTTCCTCATGGGATGATTTTGCAGATGAAAGGAGATAATCCATGTTAAGTGCTTAGAGCAGTGCCTGGCAGATAGTAAGCTTTCAGCCAATGATAGCTCTTGTTATATTTCAAGAGAGATCTTGACAAACAAAAACTTGCCTAGATCAGAGTGACTGGGGCAGATAAAAGTCCAGAAACCCGGGGCTGGCCCCGTGGCCGAGTGGTTAAGTTCGCGCGCTCCGCTGCAGGCGGCCCAGTGTTTCGTTAGTTCGAATCCTGGGCGCAGACATGGCACTGCTCATCAGACCACGCTGAGGCAGCGTCCCACATGCCACAACTAGAAGAACCCACAACGAAGAATACACAACTATGTACCGGGGGTCTTTGGGGAGAAAAAGGAAAAAAAAAAAAAAAAGTCCAGAAACCCTGTCACATACAGAACAATCAAATGGATCACTAGAGAACAGAAGATACAATAGCATCACGTAACTATTGTCTCCAAATATTTGAAGGGCTTCTGTACTGGTCCAATAAAGTCCAATAAAATAGTCATTTTATGTGGCTTGAAAACGCAAAATGAGGACTAGCAAGTAGGAGTACAGGAAGCAGATCTTAGTGATTAAGAAATCAGAGTAATTCAAAGCATAATGGGTTGCCTTGTGATGTATAGTAAGCTCCCCATTACTAAAAGCCTGTAAGCAGAGGTTGGAAATCACCAGCCAGGGATGGTATAAACTGGAGAGGAGATTTCTGAACTTGGAGAGAGGCTAATCTTATCATTTCTGAGGTCCCATCCAATTATAAGATGCTAGCATTCTGTTTAGTACAACCACCAAATAGGAGAGATATTTCCCATTCCAGCCTACTTCTCTGGAACCCACCTCCCCTTCTCTATGTTTCCAATGCTTCTTTGTTCTTTTTCTCAGCACATTGACAAATATTTTCCTTCTTGCTGGATGACTATTACAAGTAATGAATTTAATTCCAAAAATAAATCCTTTCCTGATTAACTTTATCTAACTAATGCTTTTGCCTTTTAGAAAATACCTTAACCTAGAGGTTGAACCTAATGATTCTCAAATTTTTTCATAGTAAAACACTTATTAGTTACCCTGCTCTTTACAAAACACCACAAGAGTCTGACCTATTAATATGAATAAATATATAATTTTGCACTACATCAGATACCAACTCGTGCTACGTTCTAGTGAAAACAAATAGTAGGTGCCACCTGTGAGAATATTAAAAACTTTCCATATGCTTAGGACAAGTTTGACTGTTTTCTAATCTTGGTATCCAGAACCAGTTTTAAACCCATTGGCTCAATCAATGACAACTTGCCTCCATTAACACACTTTTGTAAGCCAACCAATCAGTGATAGCCTCTCACTTCTGATGGTCAGTCAACCAGGAACTGACTCACTCCATAAACATATTTCAGAGTGCCAGCCAATCAACAAACAAACATGCTTCTATAGATGATGTCAGCCCACTTACGTCTGGGAAAGTACGCTTACGTGAACTGCCTGCTTCCCAAAACCAACAAGTGCTCCTACTGGGCTCCTTGTGCCCAAATTCCATTTGTCCTTCATATCTGCTGCCAGGTAAGTCAGTCTCAAAAATAACCTGAATTTGACTAGATTCATTGACTTCTCACTGCTTCTA